TTTGCCTTTGACTTGGTAAGTCTTATCACATCTATTTATTTTAGAGACGCTTATTTATTTTTTTTACCACTGCTAATGAGATTCCACTCTGTGGTGGGTGTTGCCTGGTCAGTTATGCTTTGCTTTAAACCTGCACAATTTACTGGTAGCTTTATACTGCAAACTGTAGAGATGGGGTTTTCTGCAAGACCACTGGTGGCTTGCCCAATGGTATATACATATGTTTCTCAATATCCATCAGTTTTACTCAGTTGTAGACTATCACTCATGGACTTTCATGAGTAAAGCAGAAAGGGATTTCTGCCCATCCCTGCTGACCCCTTGATAGAATAAATCTTGGACAGTCTGCTTTTCAAATTGGGAAATTGTTAACACCAATTTCACTTTCTCCAGTGTGACATTCCTCCAGACTCCCTACCACACTTACTTCCCCCCTTTCTTCTCTGAGTGGAACAAGGGAGTCCTTACCAGTTCCCACTCACTGTGGTGGTGGACCATGGAGGCTTCCTCCCGAGTATTTTCTGTACTTTTAACTTTCCATATATCCACTTAGTGAGAATATGGCAAAGCTGGTTTCCCTCCTCCTATTTCCCCTGGATGCTTATTCCCTGGTGGACAATTGTTAGTTGGAAACAGGACCAACCTATGTGGGATCCTTCTCATAATACTGGGTTTGGGATGACACTTCCGTGTTCCTACGGTTGTGTGCAGTAGAGAGCCCCCTTGTTAATTCTGTTGCAAGTGATTCCTTCCCTGCTCCTACAGTTGAGTTTGAGGGACTTTGTCTGCCTTGTAATATCCACAACAGGACATACGTACACTGTTCCTGTGGTTGAGCGAATGTTCCATATCCTCCTCGTAATTCCAGATGAGGATATCCTTTCCCTGCATTTACGGCTGGATGAGTTAAGATTTCTGCTCTTAATACTGGTTACAGATGTGACCCCTTAATGCTGATCTTGGTTTGTTGTACCTCTTGCTCCTACAGTGGTTTTGGGAGTTTGTCTGGTTTTGGCTGCATGCCAACTTCCTCTTCATAATTACAGTTGCTTGATGTTTGACACTCTGTTTACTTATAGTTGGGATTCATGTGTATATGTAATGCTGTCCACATACCCTAGACACATTGTTTATATTACTCTCTATTCATTTTTATCTGATTGATCCTAAACAAGTTGTGGAACCTCATCTGTAAGATTGGTGTTGAGTATCTCCATAGCTATGCCAGGTGTTTGTTTTTGTTGTTTTTTAATTATGGATTGCATCTCAGAACAGATTACTTGTGTGCACATCCTTTTTTCTTTTGCCCATATCAGGTTAATTCCTTTCTTCAAGAGTGAAGGGCATACTTGTTCCAGAAGTAGTGCGGTACCCCACATGTGTGCTTCAGTTCATCTCAGAGCACATCTGTTCATTCTAGGTGGTCACTTTCTGCATGTTTTCAATGTTGTGTGGCTACACCAGCCCCTCTACTTTTGTAATGTGGGATTCTAGTTTTTTGTGAGAGGAGGTAAGACTGTTTTGGAAGTTAACGTTTTATTACACTGAAAATATTTTTCCGATAGATACTTACCTCCTTCACACACACTTCTCAATATTCCTCCCCACTGCCAGTGTTATTCTTTTAGATCCTACCAATTCTAGAAAGTGAGAATAGCAGAGGGAGCTAGCTGCATCAATAGGTGGTGCAACACTATTGGTGGAGAGTAATGTTCAGTTCAGCAATGCTTAGAGGACAGAAAGTAGATAGAGATAGCTTTGTGTGAGAGCAGGTAAGTAACTGTCAGAAATAAATTTTCAGTGTAAGAAAATGTTAATCTTTATAGAAAATGTTTAGAATCACTGTTGTCACAGTGACACAGTTGCAGACATTTTATTTTTTCTCTTAGTCCAGGGGGTTTGGGCAATTACACTAATTTACCCCTCAATCAATCTGGTCCCTGGTAGGCTTAGTTAATATGGTTTAGTGCAACATGATTTAAGTTTCACTTCACTGACAAGGCTATATTAGGCCAAGTTTGCATTAGATCTTATCAGACTAAGTAACTTCGTGAGAGGGCAAAGAAAATCTCTGAAAAAGTATAAGTGTATATGTATGTATGTGTGGATATAAAACAGGTTTAATACTTATTACATATATTAAACAAAACGAGATTAACAGTTTAAAAAAAAATTTTGTTTATAATCTTGGAAGGGTAAAATTACATTATTTTTATTGTACAATAGTGATTGTAAACACAATGAAACTGTGGTGTTTCTTGGTTCAAAAGAAAGATACAGTTAACAGTTTTATGAAACAAATTCTTTAGAGAAAAGCCTTAGAAGAATTTAGGAGAACATAAAAATCAATAATTAAAATCTACATCAAAAAACATTTTTAATTGTTTTTTTAAAAAAAATATCACAATGAAATCTTTTCATATTTTTAAAACTGAGAATTCATACAAATATCTCATAGAAAAATAAGATACTTTTTTTTTCAGAAGCAGCATAAGCTGTAGAAAGTTAAAATGAAATTTCAAACTATTTCATCCAATAGGTTTTTGTGTGTGTGTGTGTGTAATTAATAAAACAAACCATAAAACATCAAAGCATCCAGACATTTGAAAGTTAAAAGTAATATTTCTTTTTATCTCTTAGATTTGTTCTTAAGTTGTTTTCTATTCTAGTTTTTTAAATAATTATTTGGTATATTATCTATTATGATAATTGCAGATTTTGTTATTGTTATTTTTATTATTTACATGAAATTAATATTGTGTTTGTTTTTTGTAATAATTTGATGTAATGCATTGTATGTAGTCTTGGCACAGTCTTGTACTTGAAGAGTAGACAAGTATGTTAAAAAGACAACCTGTTGAACATGTATATGATTTTTAAATATAGATGTGTATACATATTTCTTCTTGACACTGTACATGTAAGTGACTTTAATACCTTAGTTCGTAATGTCTAGTAACTTCTTTAAAAATATATAACTAGATGTGTTTGGAACAGTTTTTAATTTTAATGTCTTTATCTTAGGCTCAACCCTGACCCACCACAGCCTTCATTTCAATGTTATTCTCAATCATCAGATTTATTAAACAACTTTCATGGTTCTTCACAATTAAATGTTCATGCCTCAAGTGCTCGTTTACGTCTTGATCCTAAAGTATTGGTCATTATAGAGAGCCAGTATTCACTGCTAGGAAAACAGATCTCTGAAATTTTGGAAGCAAGTCGTACCCGGTAAGCTCTAGCATAATGTGTTTTCTGTAGAAATCTATTTGTATTTTTATTATGCAGGCTGTTTCATAGAAAGGTTGAAGCAGAATGACTAATGCATTCATGTATGACAATGTGTGTGTATTTATAAATGCACAGTTTAGGCAATGAAAAGTGTTCTATATTTAACAAATATCCATTCTTATTGTATTTGAATATTTTGTTCTCATAATTAACATACATGTTTTTTAATGTAAATTAAATATGTAATGCTGAGTGATTATTCTAATTACATACATTTTTATTATGTCCTAAATTTTCCTAATAACTAAGATTTAGTTACATGTATTAACCCTCTTGCTGTGGACAAGTCAAAGAGTGCATATCACTATGTTTTAGGTTATTTTAGAATTTTAATTAAACAACTTTATCAATGTATTTCAATAATACTTGCATCAAAACATGGGTATAATTCAAATTTTAATATATGTTTTAATTTCTTAATTCAAAAGAAAATATTACAAACAAGATACTAAATATCCTTTTTTTGTGTGTGTCACATGGCATTTCTTGTTTTATTGGTCTGTCTGTATTGTATTACACCTACCACTCCAAATCTGTTAATGAATCGAATCAGAAACATAAATTTTGGACATTGACAAGCTAGAATATAAAATAAAAACCTCCCACCTTTTTGATTTGCTGAGATAACATATTTAGCACACCAGAGTAGCCCCTCCCACTACTCCATTCTTGTCTGCTCATGCCTATTTCACTTAAGTGCATGTTTATAACCAATAGAAAGAGCACATTCCAAACTACATAAGTCTGACAATCATTTGTAATTGGCTTTAAGGGGAAAGCTGGAGTTTTACTGGAAAAGTTTTTCCAGAATTAGATGGGGGGGGTCAAACCATCCACTGGTAATTTTGACACCATCATGTTACTGCTGGGGACCATGCCAAGTTTGGTGGAGATTGGTCAAATAGTGTGGGTGGAGTTACCGGACAGGCAAACATACAGTTTTGCTTTTATATATATGGACTATCTTCCTTGTTTTAGCTTTGTTAGCCTGATAAGCTAAACAAGCATGCTTTAACTTCAGCATTTTCAATATTGAAATGTGCTACAACTAAACCATGTGGGTTATTATGGAGTTGTAACTGAGGGTTCTGGTTGGACAAAATTTCGGGGATGTTGCATCAATGTATCTCCTTGTCAACTAAGCAAACATAATGGGGAATTTCAGCCAATTATTATGATTTTTGTGTGCCAGCAATACCAGTTGTGGGGTACATATATACCCAATTCAATTTTATCACTCATCACGATCTCTACCAACCTACCCTCAAATCTAAAAGTTATCGGCGTGACGGATGGACAGATAGAATTTTGACCCCTCCATTTTACTTCTGGGGACTGTAGGAGTCACCATGCCAAGTTTGGTGGAGATTGGTCAAATAGTGTGCCAGGAGTTAGCAGACAAACATACAACATATTTTGCTTTTATATATATAGATTAGACAATTGTAAGTCAAGTCCTTGTGGTGCATTTAACTGATACATTTCAGTATGGGTCATACATTCTCTATCATATATTTCTTTTGCATCTTTGCACATAAAAGTTTTGCTAAACAATCAGTAGCAAGGCACAGATGCATGTTTTTATTTTTTTTCAATTAAACTTGGTATTCAGTCGTCATAACTATATATTTGAAAAATTGAATTTACCATATTTTGTACATTGTATATGTCACTAGCACTTCCTGGATCAAACTTGGATTGTTTAAATATTCCTGTAATGTGTTTTTTTGGCAAAGACTAGTTCTTTTCACATCAGTTTTCCATAGAATATGTAATTGTGTGTAAAATACTGCTCAGATAGTTTCAAAAGAAATTTAATTCAAATAGTTGGCTAATAATGGGTAACTTTAAGATGTCACCATGATATCATAAACATGATAAACTTATTTTAATTAAGTGCTGTAAAGAAAGTGAAATTGCCTATGTTGGTACTTGGCAAGTTTAGTTTCAGTGTAAGAGGTATGAATGAAAAGCTGAAATGCATATATACATACATATATAATGTATATGTTAATAGGGGATTTAATAAAGTCCAAAATAACTCCTGACTATTTTGTACATGTGTAATGCATATACTTGTGAATTAAGTTTAGAGCTGGCAGATTAATAGTATTTGCTGATTGATTACTCAACAGCTCCATTAATTGATTACAGTTGATTAATTGATAGCCTTCCCCACCCCGTTATCAGTTGTCCAACATTAGTAACAGTAGCAAATAGCTATAGTAACTTTTCCATAACAAAAGCCAGGATGAGGAAGTTTGGTGTCTATTTCAATTACTTAAATATTTGGAATAATGAAAAATAAAATTAATCAGAAATCTTAATTTTGATTAGTTTGCTATTTTTGTGAGAACTGATTTCATCATAATTTTGACTATTTTGATTATTTTAGGGACAATTGACATGATCAGAATCTAAATTAATTGATTGTTGGAATAATCTAAAGCAGTAATAATTTATAACAATAATTTCATTTAATCAATTTAATTGCAATTTTGATTAATAAACTAGTTTGTGACACTAATTGATGCAATTGTTGTTCATGAGTAATTGATTAATCGATTAAATTTCCAGCTGGAATTAAATCAAACACTTCTATATGTACTTAAATAAGTGATACCGAGATATGGAACATTTTAATTGCATGTATTAGTAAATAAGCATGATGTAAAGTTATGTATTTTCAACATTATTAATAAACAGAAAAATAATTTTTGAGTATTATATAACTAATTTCTTAGAAGTTAGCTTTCTTATATACAATCTTTGTACTTTCAGGTTTAAGATAGAAATAGCAGGGAAGAATTTGCCAGTTCTAACACGACAAGATAAAGGAAAATTTGCTGTGGTTGTTTTTGAAGATTATGAAAAGTACTTATTTATGAACAAGTGGAATCGAGAGCTTTTAGACAAATATTGTCTAGAATATGGTGTTGGTGTTATTGGCTTTTTAAGGCCTAAAGAAAAACCTTTAGTTCATACAGAGATTCATAATGGTAAACAGAAATTCTTATTCTAGTAAATGTTTGTAGTAGTATTCTGAAGTTGTTTTTAATTTGACCATTATAGTAGTAATTTAGCAATTAGTGAAATTTGTTAATTGCTCAATTGTGGAGCCCGTTAATCGATTACTTTTACAAGGTGGTAAAAAATTCAAAAACAAAAACCATCGTAACATTAAAAATTAGGTTTCAAAACTTCAAATGGGCAAAGAATAGATGAATCATGTAACTTTGTGCTTAACAACAAGCAAACAACATAATGGCAATATTTCAATTACTTGTATAGTTTGAATAGTTGAAAGTAGCAATAATCAGAAACCGTAATTTCAATAGATACTAATTAATAGTAATGAAAAATCATAATGGTAATATTTTTATTACTTATCTGTAAAAATTTTTCCCTACTTATCTATATTTTGATTCTAATGCATTGTTGCTGGATGACATTATTACCGTATCTTAACGTCACTAAGGTGAGACAGTTGAATTGTTGTGTGCTTTCATTTAAAATTTGTCATCTGATGATGCTAGGTAAACTTAGCAGAATATAATGTTTATAAAAAGCTTTTTATCGTGTTTATCCTAAAATAAAAATAATTTTAACTTGACAAGTTCTTTCTGTAGTGTATTCAAAAATTGTTAGTGATTAATCATGTTCAATAAAAGGTCCATGTCATTAAACTGTATTGCTTTAAATATATATATGCAGATTTAGTTGTTTAAGGTACACTTTGCAGTGTACATGCACTTATTTTGATAACTTAATGCAGTTTCCCAGTGGGACAGCAGTCTACAGACATTCAGTAATAAAATCCAGGGTTCGATTCCCTACAGTTGACACAGCAAATAGCCCTATGTGGTTTATTCTAATACAACCAAAACAGAATGCTAAACTCGTCTGTCTTTTTTTTAACCCTCACACCATAGCTATCTGTTTCTGCATATGTCATAAGGTTTTAGTGAGTTACCTCCAAAATTTAATTAAACTACTTTCTTTTCATGGTATACCAATAAATATAGCATAAAAATGTAGCTAATAATCCATATTTTAATAGTATATAATTTTTAAGATGTTACTTTTTAAGGCAATATTTAAAAAAAAACTTGAATTTCCCATGGTGTGAGAATTGTCATTTTCTCTCTAGGCATCTTCTGTTCTCTAATTTATTTACCACCCATTCAAGAATTATGAAATTTAATCTAAATTATTCATGATATAGTATTCAATCTTATTTGGTTACAGAGGTAGGAAATAGACAATTAGACCCCTCCTGCCATGCCCACCTGTCACATCCTCTCTTTTAGAAACTGCCAATAGCTCTCTCTGACTTTCAGTACTATATTTTTGGTAACCAATAGAAAGCCAAGGTTTCACCTATCAAATGATGTATTATATTACGTTGTTTTCTGTACAGAGAATTGTCAGTTTTTCTTCCAGTACAACTTTTATTCCTACAGAAAACACATTGACAAGCTTAGCTGAATTCCTAACAGCTCTTGTTGCATAGTTAGAGAGCCAGGAAAATTATAGTACATATGGGGCATTGTCTGCTTTTTGCACATTATTATTTTGTGTTCTCTAGTGCATTATTATTAATGAAATAAAAAATGATTTAGTGCAGTACTACTATTAGTATTATAAAAAAAATGAGTGTTATGTATCACTGAGAGTTGACAGCAAAAATAAAGAAGACCCACTTAAGTGCTTTTTTTCTTGTTTTTCATGTGTATTCTTTATTTATTATTATAAAAATAACTAAACGTAAAAATAGGAACGTTAGTTAATGTTAGATTAGGTGAAATAAATAATAATATAATCTTTTCACGAGGTATGCTCGCGAGTAGTTTGTGGGTAATGTAATTAAATAACGTAACGTGAGCTGCACATTTGCCATGTGATTTACAATTAATAATGGTGCGAATAGTAATTAGATAGGGTTCAAAGGGCAATAAAGCAATTAAAAAAAGTATAAATAGATGTATACTGTTATAAGTGTAAAGCTATTTAGGATAAACAAATGTAGTTTCTTATTACAATATGAGTCATTATAGAAAGAAAAAAAGGGTAATTTAGATTTTTTTTGTGTGGTTATGAGGTAAGTCACATTGATCAACCTTGTATAAAGTTAGGGTAGAGAAAAATAACAGATAAAATAAAGTTTTACTGAAAAGAAAACGTTTGAACTCTATTTAAGAGGTTTTAGAGATTATACAAATAAAATTTGAGATTTTTGAGATGAAGAAAAGTATTTTTAATCTTAACATGAAAATCACTTAACACTCAGACTACTATGTAGTATACTCAAGGACAAATCTTTTGTAAAAATACTTCATTAAATAATCTGATTTGTGAAGATACAAATACTATATTAAATGTTATAGTATGAGAACTATAACAAGCACAAAATGGTTACGAGGTTGTTCCATGGGAAAGAGTTAAACATTTCATTGTATTTTGCATTATTTCCACCAAATGGTAGCTTTGTATGCATTGGAGTTAAGTCATATTTCAGTTGACTTGCAGCCAAAATATAAACTGAACTGAACATATACAGCTTGTAGTTCAAAATGTTTCTGTTTAATTTTTTTTTATCTGTGGTACTATTACTACTACTACTAGGAAATAGAGCAGATTTTTCTCCCAGTGGTACCACTTTTGAGCATTTGGTAGTCATTGTTTGTGTGTTTCATATTATAGTAAAGGGACAAACAATGATTTATAAGAATAATGAAGTGGTTTATTTTAGGGGGAAAAAACTATATGTTTCAACAGAACATTTGTCTAATTCATGTACCTGAAGAAGACAGACCAATGTTCTTCCAAAAATGTACCACTTCATTATGCTTATAAATCGTTATTTATCAGTTTACTGTTGGTATCATATTCGTCCATATACAAGTGTTCCATATTGTTTAAAATGTTTCATCTACATAGCCTAAACAAGTGTTCAGTTAAATTTCTTTATAAGAAATTGTCAGATTATAAATATCATTCTACATAAAAGTTATTTTGAAACTAAGAGTAATGGACGTGCTTACTTTAACAGTTTTACAAAGTTACAGAATTTTTGTGAATGAGTTTCAAGGATTTAAACCTAAATGTTTCTTGTATCTCCTTTTTTTTCTTCAAATTAACATGTTATCTGCCAAGCTAAGTATACATGTGCATATACTTTACATTCAAATGGTACCTATCTATAAGCACTGCCCTCAGATGACAGTGATGTTCAGATAGAAATGCATACTGATGATAGCAACAACAAGAGATTCTGCTACACCAGTTTATGATAGAGGAGCAGTTGAAGGTGTGAACCCTGATGTCCCATTGCATAAGTGGTCAAATGTTGTGCAAGATCCACCCGATTTGGCTTTCAATGAAAACTCTGGTCTTAGAATTCAATTACCAGATGCTTCACCTGGTGATTATTTTGACTTATTCTTGACTCCACAATTACTAGATATCATGGTCATAGAAACAAGTTGATATACGACAGCCAAAATCAACCATTGCAAAGAGAATCACATCTAAAATACTGGAAGGACACAGATACAACAGAAATGAAAGTTTCTTGCCTTGTTGATTCACAGGAGTCCAAATAACCTAACTACCTTGGAGCACTTCTGGTATGAGTTGCAACAGCTTCCAAATGCTCTTATGTTTTTGGCATTTTGCAGACAATTCCCAATCTCATGATGATCATCTGTATAAGATACTTTGGTGTGACAGGCTCTTGTTTCGACAGTATATCAAAAACAAATGCCACAAATATGGAGGCAAACTCTATAAACTATGCAAATCTTGAAGTCTGATGCTGAAAATGTGCATATACTGTAGAACTGGCCTTGAATGTGATCCCAGCTTGTAACAGTCTCACGCTGTTGTACTTTATCAGTTGGCTGATTATCTGGACAAAGGTCATGTCTTGTACACAGATAATTATTACAATTCTGTGAGCCTGGTGAAAAAATTGACTTTGCAATCAACCCTACTTATGTGGAACACTGGTTTGACTGTAAAGAAAATCTAAAGGATGTGGTCCATAGAAAGTTGAAGGGGGAACATAAATAGAAGCAGTCAGACTCGGGGTAGTTTGTAAAGAGAACAAAGTGCTTACAATAAGCAACATGCACAGAGTGGAAGTAGTTGATGTAGTTCGAAATAACATTTCGAAGAAACTCAGTATAGTTCGTGATTACAACATTGGCATGTCCGGGATAGACAGATATGACCAGACATTGTATTACTCAACTCTACATAAGACAATACGATGGTACAAGAAGATTGCCCTTCACATCTTCAAGATATTTATTCTGAATGCCCACATCCTATACAATGAAAATAGAGGGCAGCAAATGAAACTATTGAATTGTCATGAACCTGTAACAATTCATCTGCTAGGTAATACCATGGAGGATCTTCAAGGCCAGAGGCGACATGCACTCTCAATTTCATTGCGAACTCTTGATTTTTTTCACTACCTCACATTTGCCACCCACGGAAAAGAAAGAAAAGCCAATCAAACCATGTTTTGTGTGCACAAAGGCTGGTAGAGGAGAAACCCACTACATTTGTGCCCGAAAAACTAGCCTTCTGTATAGATAAATGCTTCAAGAAGTACCATGTGCCTCAATAATGGACAGATAAACAAGAAGACAAAGAGACATTTATAATCATTTACTGGACATTATTTTTTGTCATTTGGTTATGATGTGAGAATTTGTTAGTTCATGAAACATTGAAAGAATAAAATCATAAAATTTGAACATGTTTATTGAATATTATTGCTTATTGATTTAGACCTGATCAAACATTGGATCATGTAGAGTAAGCCTATTTCAGTTATAATCATTTATTTTCTTATTGTAACCATCTGTCCATTAGTCTTACTTGTGTTGAAGTGATTTTTGTGGAGATATCATGTTTGTGCACTTCAGTGAATTTCAATAGCATAAATAATGATACAATATAAATTTGATCATGATTATTACATTGATTTATATTTCCCAAACTGCTAACAAATTGGATGCCATTTTCTGTTTACTATACAATAGCATAATCTTTTCAAAGAGTTTACTCGTAGTCAACAGTCAATGTGTTAACCTGATTTTTACATGTTGGATATGTTAATGTAAATTTTTAAGATAGTTAGAATTCGACTTTTTTAACAAGTCTTAATGATGGTATGTATAATCAACTCGTTATTTACATTTTACATAAGTGGGAGTTGTAAACTGTCATTTTTAAATCCATTATTCTTTAAGTAATAATGTTATTAGTAAGGATGTTTTATTAGTTACAGTAAATGGTTTTTACCTGTGAATTTAGATTGACACAGGTAGTGAGCATTATCTAGCTTTTCTAGACCTTTCTCATGTCAAGAATGGCTTAATTTTGGTTGTGTTATAACAGTTTCTTTTGCTGGTTTGGTTCGTTTTGATTATTTCGTAAAAATAATAGGAAGTCCAGTTCACTTAAGGAAAAGTAAAGCATTTTATTTCTTCAAGAGAAAGTTTAACAACTTGAATGGTTTAACATACCAGTGATAAGCCTAATTCACAAATAAAACTTAACATTCACTTGTTAACTTTTCTATGTATGACACAAACTCAACAAAATTGGTAATTGGTTGACAACACTTAACAGACTTGCTGACTAACGAAGTATCTCAGATTAACTATTACTGACTGGTGTTTCTTATATTACTTTTTTGTAGTCTATAGAAAATCTCACGTAAAGTGTAGACTAGATACCTGGGAAATACACAAGCATCGCATATCCTCATTACATTGTGTCAAACTCCTTCTAGCAAACAATAAAAAAAACATTTTTATTAAAATATTGAAAACTAAGCCCACAACAATAGGAAGGACATAAAATAATGTTACGAGTAAACAAACCAGATCTGTGCAGTAAATTCAAATGTTGATAAAGATCATTTATGCCTGAGAAGGAATGTCAAAAGAAATTCTGTAATGAAAGTTACTAAACATTTATTTAATAGTAAAAAGTATGATTGTTCTTCTGCTTAGCAATAGGAAACCATTATTGTAATATTCTTGTAGAATTTTGAGATTTAAATAAATGTCAGATTTCAAGTCTTGGAATACTTAGGAAAGTTGACTTCAAAGAACACTTAAAATAATGGATGTGTGTAAAAATTGTTGACAATGGCATAACATGATATGCAGTTTTTGGAATTTTCAGAACAAGCCATTTGATCTTCACTGCCTAAGTTTTATTGGTTTTTTTGCTATAATGTAAATTTAAATTAGCACATCTTACCCAGTAGCTACGAATGAATTATCTACCTTAAAAGCTATTTGATATAGCTTAAGTTTTTTTTTCATACTTAGAGCCTGACAAATCAATAAATTAAAACTGAGGGTTGTTGCATACAAGATTAAGTAGCTTAGTAATTAAAATGCTTAGTCAACAAGTAGTGTTGTGTGTGATTGAATAATAGTAAATTTTAGGATTTTATGAATTATTTTAATTATTGTTCAAAAAATAATAATTTGAAAGATCATAAAAGTTAACTATGATTTTCCTTTTAATTACAAGGAGGTAGGCTGAGATTTTAAATTAGGGTATTAGCCGAAAACTACATGAATTTTGAGCAGAAGTGTTATTGCCATAGCATGTGTCTTCTAGTTTCAAATTATATTCTAACTGTTTGCATATTTTTTTTACATATGTGTATTTTACAATTTTCTGACTTCTTTTAACTATAAACATGTTTTTGATAAGAGAAATAACTACATTAACAGATTTTGACTTGGCTATAAGTACAAATCTCAAGCTCTATGATTACCACCTGAATCCCAATTCTTCAGTATTGAGGCTCACACGACCAGAAGAGACTTTTTATGGAGATCTTCCTACATCAGATTGGACAGTATTTCATTCTGCCCACTCCACATATAAGCCTATAGCTTGGGCTCGGGCACACAATCTGACAGGGAAACCAGCCAGTGAGAACCAGCTTATGCCTACATTAGTGGAGGCAAGTTTATCAGTTTTGTAAATAGTTGGCCAAGTACAAGAAATTACTAATAAAAATTAATAGTTTTTTCATAGATATATATATATATATATATATATATATATATATACTTCATATTTTGACTAGACATGATTTCAAATTTATCAGTAAAACAGCTTTGGTAGTGAAATATTTTCCACAGTTAAAAGCCTTTTATTCATTAGAATTAAAGGTAACTTGGTTCAGTCTTAATAAAAGTTGTGTAATTAAGCTTTCAAACATATTTGTATACAAAGGCTTAACATTGATAAAAATCATGTAAGCTACAGAGATAAAAGGATTGTTCAGGAATGTGGAAAACAACTTCTGTTGGACCTTAAATAATTTTTATTACAAACTTTAGGCCTGTGGATTTACTGAAAATCAACTGAATATATGGTATATTTTGCCATGTGTTTCTCATACGTAAATGCACTAGTCTTCAAATCAGTAAATATTGACACAGTATTACAAATTCAAATAGTGCAAATATCTATAAAGTTTCACAAAAGTGGATTTTTTTAGCAAGCACAAAGGTTAAAGTATTTTTGTTAAGTTATATACTCAAGTTAATTTCATTCTGTGGTATCGGCAATAGAACAGACAGTAATGGATTTTAAGCTTTTGCACACAGTGTTGTGAAATTTAAATAATTTAGAAATAAGACAAAACTGAACATTTTCTTATACAGTGAAATACTTGATGATGAAACAAATGAGCTGTAATACTGATCCTTTCTTTATTCTGTACATTTTATAGTATTTAAAATGCTATTTCCACAAACCTGAATAACAGTATAGTGTTTTTGTGACTACTATTTATTTACTTTCATTTGTCACAATTGACCTTCTTTCCTTCCTCTTCAAGTGACTGAAATAAAATTTAAACAAAACCTTTTTTATGATTTGTAACTTTATATTCCCCAAAGTGATACTATCTTTCACTCACACTTTACCACCATGCAATGGCTTGTGTATCAATCAGTTATTTTTACACTTTCCATAATTACATCCAACACATTAAATGCTCATAGTTGCTGTCTAAACGTTAGAACTTTACTATTATTAGCAGATCAAACTAACCTATCATTAGATCCATAAGAGAGGAATGTATATAAAACTACTGTTTGTTTTTTCTTAACATGTTGACTGCTATTATTACGGTTTCCCATACCTATAACTTCTCAACTCTAAATTGATCAATTGTAATTAGTTATCATTTCTGTGGCTTATTTCATCTAAAAGTTTGAAAAATATTGCCTAACTGTGGATATGACAATGTGCACACTGCATTATTTAATGTTTTTATTTGTGTTTTTGAAAAAAATTATATGTAATAAAAGTTTTCCAAAAAAGGGCTCAACCTTATTGGCAATTTGTTTGCACTTCCTACAAATGTATTTACTTTATTTACAAACTTAAAGATTAAAATAATGATGAAAAGATATTGCAGTTGATTTTTACATTGATTAATGTAGAACACTGTGATTTTGTATGTACAAAGTCATTAAGCTTCCTATTGTAGATACAATGTTTTTTTCTACATTTAGATCTAAAATTTGAAACTATTCAGTTAAAATTTTACTGTTTGTGATGGAATATAGATTTATGACCTTTATACTTATCAGTCATTGTTTGTGTGGGCATTTGGCATTGCCAAACATTCATCTCTTTTTTTTTTTTTTTTTTTTTTTATGCAGTTGATGTGTAAATATTACACAGTATGTTTTATAGTTTCAGTATAGATAAACAGTGAATTTTTGTGCAATAAACAATCATCATTTAGTATGTTGTGCATTGCATAACATGTGGCAAGATTCATTTTTCTGTGGGTAAGTTAATTCTATATATCTAATAAACACTTAACCATACCCAGTAGTAAAAATCTGTACATTGTTGGAATAGCTATATTAGAGAACTGAGAGGTGCTGTTTATACATAAATTAGCTACTTTGCTTCAAAAATTACAGATTTCTTTGTGTTTTAACAGGATCAGGGGCAAATAGATGGCATCCAACGTGTATTATTTGGGGGAGGATTTAAATTCTGGCTGCATAAGCTTCTCTTTCTTGATTCAATCTCTTTCCTTTCCCATGGAAAACTTAGCCTTCCTCTGGACCGCTTTATTCTGATTGATATTGATGATATTTTTGTTGGGCAGAAAGGAGTTCGAATGAAACCTTCTGATGTGCAGGTTTGTATGTTGAGGCTCAGGTATATTGTTGTTATCACATAAAAGTAATTTAAGACCATTTTTTATGTCTTGTGTCTTACATGGAAATGTTCCCAGAATAGAACGTGTTGCTTCACATTCTCTCAAGATTGTATGTGTCTACCATTTGGAAATGATGTATTTGTTACATTATCAAAACCTTGTTCATAGGACCTGTTTTTTGTAGTTTCAAAACCATGTATCTCTGAATTTATAAATATTGTTGTAAGGGAAATAATATTCATAAATGATTATACGTTTGTGTGTACTGTGCATAAATTAAAGACCACCATTCAGTCTCCAGTGCAAGAGTTGTACAGTATGAAACATAGTAATAATACCAATCTAAAAAACCTTTTATATCTAAATACTATCTATATCAAATGTTTCATGTGAACAACTTGTGAAAAACTAGATGCATGAATGTCAGAACTGATCAGCTATGTTTCTGAAAACTAGCACTTGTAGCTTTTACATGTTGTAATGCTGTGGCTATTACACTGACATTCAAAATCAAATTGTATTCCCCACACATTTATTAATTTTCTTGATGATTAGCATGATTTATTGCTTTTGTAAAAAGTATTGTTGAAGATGTGTGGGACTATCTTCATTTGAAAAAAAGAGGGAATCCTCAATAGCCATGGCACTTGAAATTCTTTTAGGCAGGATTAGAGTAAATTAATGTATGAGACATCCTTTTACTTTTTATTACCCATATTTTTGTGTACTAGTAATACCAAGTGTGGAGTGCACGTATACCCAAATCGATTTTATAACTCATTGGGATCTCTACCAGCCTACCGTCAAATTGAAATTCTTTATGGCAGGATTAAAATAAATTGGGCGTGATCAAATACATCAATCAAAAGGGTTTGACCTCCTTAGTCCAAAACTGTAATTAGATTTTAAATCGGTCAAGGTATGATGGAGCTATGAGCTAAACGTTTGTACTTAAAAAAAAAAAAACTCAGACTTTCTATGAGGTGCTGTTCTGTGGCTATAAATAGCAAAGACATTGAAGTCAAAAGAGGAACTCTAGACAGTGTTACAAGATGCCTGGAATTAAATTTTGACTAAATGTCTCCAAAAACTTGTATAAAGTACTCCTCATTGGTTTCAGGCAGTGATATCAGCTAAAGGTAGTTAGTTGATCAAAGTATTGAAGAAATAAACTCCAGTCTTGCTTTATATGCATTTGTTTTGCTTTCAGACATTATGAAGGTTTGAAATACCTCCACTAAAAGGAACTCTGCATGGTTTGAATTTCAAATGTATGGTGATGATTGAATGATCTTGATTTTATGCATAGTACTGTATGTATGTGTGTGTCCACTATATATTAAATAGTGTATCTAACTATTAAATTCAAACTGGTGCTCTATTTCTATCACTTTGTTGTGTGATCCCATAAACCAAATGTTGATCTTCCAAATGTATTTTTCTTAAGAAATTAAATTTTTTTTCATTAGTATATGCTAATGTTTGTTTCTCTCTCTCTCTGAAATAATTTGTAAAAGTGATTGAGCCATATAAATTGAGTTAACTAGGTTTTACAGTAAAGTGAAAATGCCATTTTTCTTGAAATTCAAGAAAAAATGTTTGAACAGATTGATGTTACTTCATTTAGTAAGTATTAACTATTGTTGTAAAACATTTTCCATTGTAAGTTATTCTCCCAGCAAAATGCTCGCCCTTTCAGCCGTGGGGTCATTATAATGTGACGGTCAATCTCACTATTCTCTGGTAAAAGAGTAGCCTAAGAGTTGGCGGTGGGTGGTGATGACTAGCTGCTTTCCCTCTAGTCTTACACTGCGAAATTAGGAATGGCTAGCGCAGATAGCCCTCGTGTAGTTTTCGCGAAATTCAAAAACAAATAAACTGTAAGTTATTCAAAGTAAATGGATGCTTAGTGGAAAAATATTTCCTCTAGATGGCAGTTTTCTTTAGATAGCTTTCCTAATAACAGAAAAAGACATTCTTATTGAATGTTTTGGGCCTACTTATTTTATAGCCATCATGCACATTTTTTACAAAAACCTGTAAATTGGGTTAAGATCATCTCACCAATTTTTAATATAAATTTTGTTTTTGTAAAATAATAATGCAAATATGTTTCAAACAAAGAGTATATTTTTTCTATATTTACTATAATTTTTTTTCTTAAATACTTCAGAAAATAAATATTACAAAATATTTAAAAAGCATAAAAATCAGTAAGTTTAAAAATTTGTTTATGATTATGCATACATTGTTTTTAAAACCGTAGTTGTAATTACTTTCATCCAACAATTTTTTGTGCATTTTTGGATAATGTAGTAGATGTATGTCTGGGAAATAGTAAGATTTGGTTGAATTTTAACATTTTTGTTATTGCTTATTCTTATATCAACCAGGGTCTATCTTACTTTGCAAGACCATTTCCAGTAAAACTGAATTATTTCAGCAATATTATTATAATGATAGATAGAAATACATTTTTCTTGACTTTTATTTTTAATGCATAATCAGTCGCTTATATTGATGAAACTTGTCAATACATCTAACATATTTGCAAATCAGTAGTACATGTGATATTCATTGCTTACTTAGAGCTCACAAAGTGTAAACACAGTAATTTTTTTAAAGTTGGTGAACTTGTAAGTCACAACTCACTTAACTGCATTTTTATTTTATAATTTACAACATTCTAAAGCTAACAGTAGCACAAACCTATACACACGGTCTTTCTGTGTAGTTGCTGTGCAGCTCCCTTTCTTTTATGGATTGTAAATTTCTAAACTTTTAGTTACTAGGTCTGAAGTAATTATGTACAGTTCTCTTTTCCTTTACAGAAACTCCCATAGTTAATCTAATGGTTGATTTTTTTTCTTTTATCTTAATCTCAAAGGCATTGTTGGAAGCACAAGAACGACTCAGCCATTCAATCCAGGGATTCCGTTTTAACCTTGGTTTTTCTGGAAAATTTTTTCATCATGGCTCAGGAGAAGAAAATAAAGGAGATGACATGCTGCTAAGTAAGTAATTTTTATTTTTTTCAGTTATATAGTTAACAGAATGCAGATGTAACATTTATTTTGAAAAAAAGTTGTCAATTCACTGGGGCTATGGTTGTACTTACTTTGAAATAAAAATGCTTAATATTATAAGATTAATTATGTAAAATTCTTCAAGAATGAGTTGCAACATGGACTACCTAACATAAGATTTTTAACCGTATGGTTTAGGGTTTCTTAGCTAGACATAATAAAAATTAAAAAAAATGTAGAACAGAATATTTTTAAAAATTAGAAAAATCATATGAAATCTTAATCATTCTAAATGATGTGAAGTCTGTTTACAGCTTGAAACAAAAACTTTGATATAATAGCTGAAACTTTAATCATAAGATGTTGAAATTCTTTTACTTTTGTCCAAGTGTTTCTGTTTTATTAGGTGCAATGAAAAAACTTCCTTGTGATGAAGTGACACCTTCATTGTCATCTTGAAGTTCATAAAAATCACATCTGTATTAATTTATAAAGTGGATATTTTTAATGGATCACAGATTCATCTTTTAAAATATATTGATGTAAATACATATACTTAATATTTGACAGATTTTAACTTCATATTTCAACGAACATTTTGTAATTCAAATATTTTTGTCATCACTGTTCAGAGTTATCTTCTACGCTGCTTATAATACTTGAGCCTAATCATGAATCAGTCAAAGCTATAAGATAAGAATGGAAACTAGTGTAATTATTTCTTCTTCCATATGAAAGCTAGTGGGAATATCTTTAAAAGTGTCTTATATGTCTTCATTGAATATTGCTTTCATGTTGTATTTCCAGCACTTAACTCTGATTTCATCTAAGTTATGTATCTAGTACTTTTCTGCTATTGTCAACATTTTAAAACTGAAATGCAAAGTGTTGGTAGTTTTCACAATTTTTTTAGCAGTTACTTGTTAACAGTCTACTGTTATTTTTTTAGAGAATGGTAGCAGTGTAGATAACTTTGTTATTTTTATGACTGTAACATTTAAATAAAATTTCTATTTGCCCAAATTTATTGGTTCATAAAACTTCTGAGATGTTAACTCACCTCCTCACACAAATTAGCTATCTTCCTTTAAGGCAACTTCTATCTAATTTCACATGATTTTACATGGATTGTGCCACTACACAAAGACAATCATGTGGCAAAATCCCTTCATTAAATAGGAGAGCAGCACACTTCCGTGTGCACTAGCTCCACCTATGCATTTGCACTCTTCTTCTAGGCATTGTATTGTACATACATGTTTAAATATCTTGTCTGTATTCAATTTATTGAGGTTTGCATCAATAATGAAACTTTCATTTTCTCTAGCTTTTGTTTCAAAAGCTTATATTTTTTATCATTGATTCTCAAATGATAGTGATTTATACTTAATCCTGAGTGTAGGATGTTGTTCACACTTAGGCCTTATTTCTGCTGTGGATTTTGAAGGTTCATTAACTGTCAGGGTCATTGCATTCATTATTCAACGTGTTGTGGATTACTACATGCTTAATGAGCCGCCTACTCCCATCTTGTCAGCCACATTTCTTTTTTCTCAGTATGGAATGATCTCTTAGACTAAGATCTTCACCTGATTTGCTTTGGATAGTATTTTACCATTTTTGGAAAAACCTTAACCTTTCAATCTCTTTCTGGATTTCCTTCTCAGGTATGATACTTTCTATCTCTTTTGCCTGCATTCTTTATTATTTTTCATTTTTACGTTTTCTGACCCATGATTCTTGGGTTTATCTTGTCCTTTCTTCTTGCTTTTTATTAGGTTTTATATTGTCTCCTTTACCTCATAGCCTCATCCCCTTCACAATTGTGACTCCTTTTGTCCTGATTTGTAGGCTTTCCTCCCTTCCTTTTCTTGATTCCCTGTCATTGGTAGCTATCTGGCCAGCTTGGAGATTGAGCTCTTTACCTTCTATTTCACTTTCTAGTTCCTCATTTTTGTTTTTCATCCTTTTCTCTCAACCCTTCTGTATTCCCACTTCTAGCTCCACCTTTTACCTGTTTCACTTCTTAATGTTTCTGTAGGCATTTGTTCCCTTCTCCATTTTGCCTCTTCCACATTTTCTGCCCTATCCCTCTATACTTTGTTCCCCTGCTGTCAGGACTTATTGGGTCAGGTTACATTCCTCTTTACTGTATCTCTTTCTTCCCTTTCATTACCCAGATGCATTCAGTGGTGTTCCTTTACCCCTAGTGACCTGGTCTGATGTTATACAACTTTTTTTCTCTTTATCTTCCTGGGTTTTTTCTTCTTTCTCGACCTTGCTCTTTACTCTTATTCCTTTTCTAGATTAGTCCTTTCCATTTCTGATTCCAGGCCTTTTTTTTTCTTGTTTTCCCTCTACAAGAAGTCTCATTATTCTTGCCAGTGACTATTGCACACATACATTTCTGTGGGTACCTTTCTCTTCTCTTGGTCTCAATTTTTCTGACAGTCATTTTTCATTTCCACACCTTAGGCTCTTTACTCACTCCTTCTCTTTTCCTTTTTTCCCCAATTCCTTTTCCCATCCCTCTGACCCCCTATGGTGTTTTTATCCAGTCTGTGGTTGGCTGTGGTCAATGTATTTGGATAGTTTCCTACACATATCTCTTGGCCCATTCTCTTTTTGTTTTCTCTGTTCTGTACATGTTTTTTGTGTCTTAGCTTTCCTTGCTTTTCCCTTAGACTCAGCATCAGCCTTTCTTGTATTCATTGATATCATGAGGACCTTTGCTTGACATATTCACAAACTTTTCTTTGACTAATTAGTCCATCCTTGAATGTTTCTTCTCCTATCTCCCTTCTTTTGGGCATATTCTTCTTATCTCATCTGAACTGAACTTCACCCTATCTTCTTCACCTGTGAGCTATGACATATTTGGTTCCCAGGTTTCTGCATTTTTCATTTTATCCCTCGGTGAGAGGTTATTTTGCTTTTGTGTACTCTGGCTTCCCTAAAACCCCTCATTTCTTTGAGGCATGCCCTCTTGTATCTCCTACAGTGGACCTTGTAGATCCAAGGTTTTCTTTCATGGGATCCTTTGTCTTCTTTTATGAGCCTATCCTTAGGGAATTGTCACTGTGACCTGGAACCTGAATGCACTACTATCTGTGTTCCCTTATCACCTCTCAAATCAGATTTTTCCCTTCTTCAATGCTTCTCTCTCTGTTTGAGGTACATTTTTTCGATGAAGACAGAATTTCCTATGTTTGGACTCTGAACAAGAGTTTCTATCCATATCAGTGTGCTCAACCTTCTCGCTCATGGTTGGGCATGTTCTCATTTCTGTTCTTACTGATGGTTTACTTAGTCATGTTTCACTCGGCTTATTCCATGGTCTTTTTTTGCTCCAGTTATTGCATAGTTATTTACACAATGTCAAGAAATCAGAGTTATACCTGGAATATTTTGCCTAGTAAAACCTGCTGCACTTACTATACTTACTTTTTCTACAGATCATAGCTCTGTGTATGTATAGTATCTTTAAAGACCTTATATAATTCTTTGATTGAAAGCTGCAGTGTATTAGGGTCAAACCAAATTAATTTAACAGTAATTATAAATATAATGCATCTTTATTGTGTTTAATCTACCTCACTGTTTTTAAGTTCCTAATAATTTTTATGTATCATATTTTGGTTTAAGAACTGAAATTACAAAATGTATTTCTGAATTTTCCATAAAAGTTATAAAATTATGAATGAACTTTGTAAATTATACAAATACTTCTGACCCATGAACAACAAATGTATAAAAAAGCTTGGTTAGTTTCAGCTCCAGTTTTCAATGCTTCTAAAAACGATAAAGGAATAGTCAGTACTCTACTATTAAGCTTTCTTTTCAGAATATGTGGACAGCTTTTGGTGGTTTCCTCATATGTGGGGTCATATGAAACCACACCTCTTTTACAACCATAGTCTTTTGGACCAACGTATGCTCAGAAATTACCAGTTTGCAAAGGTACATGTGGCTCTTGCATGAATATAAGGTTGGCAGTTTCACAGAACAAAGGAAGCAGAATTCACTAACCCTGATTCAAAATTCAGAAAATCAAGACATGGTTGAGAATTCAAAGAATGAAATCTTTCAGTTACAAAATTTTTTCAACATTATGTTTTTAGTACAGATGTGCTATTGTTTGAATACAATAGCATACTGTAAGCATTTAAGAAAAGAAAATTCAATGTTTTGGAAACTTTTAAAAATACTTTGATATGGAAATTCAAACAAACCTTTAGTTACTTCAGATATTCACTACACTGTGACCAACCTTATTATTCAATCTACTTTTTGTTTGTGGTTTGATGGGTGTTACATGTAATCATTATGTTGATAGATTAAGCATTGTTCTTATTTATGTTTTTCTTTTATGCCTGCACTTGTATCAAAGCCTTTCTTTGCCATAACATGCTTTGGTGAAGGGTGTTTTTTTTTGTTTTTCTTTATGCTTTTGCAGCTGAGAACAACAATTTTTATTGCATCTCTAGTTCTTAAAACTTACAAGTTTGGCATGGTTCTAATTCTTTGTTCTTAAAGACCACAGAAGGAAGTTTTGGTGGTTTGGACATACTTGGAGCCATACACAACCTCACCTTTTTGACAACATTTCTGTCTTGGAGACAGAAATGCTGCTGAACCACAAATTTGCCAAGGTAACAAACAACTTGGACATTTATTGTGTGTGTGTGTGTCTCCTAGAAATCATGCTAAAAGTATAACTTTTGATAGACCTATGCTACATTCAAAAACAGTATTTTGTTAAGGAAAATTAAAAAAAAAATAAAAAGTTGTATCTGTATACTGAAATGTATAACAAAAATTTTTTTCATTCTCTTGGACTTATGTTGATGTATGTTGTTGTTGTTCTGCTGTACTTTTGCATAGAAATTACTACTGTGCATGTGTGCATATCTACTAAATATTGATTTGTTTTTTTTTAATCAACTGCAAAACTTTGAACCTCATCTGATTACTTTGGTATAATGAAAATAAGAAGACTTAACATCTTGCATGGAATTAGTCTATTTTCCATTTATTTCCATTTTTAAAACTTAATGGTAAACTTTTCCCTACATTTTGTTGACTTTACTTTCTTAATCATGACTAATTTTTCAGACCATATAACTTAAGTATTGTATATTTTGGATAAGATTTTGTTTTATCTTATTTTACATAAAGATTCATACTACTATATTAAAAATTCTGAATAAACAGAGCTGTGGTAAATGTAATTCCATGTTAAATCAATCAAACCATAAAACCTCTCCTCCCTCAAATATTAATAAAATTGAGCATCTAAGTTGATAATAATTGCTTCATTTAATATTTCAGGTTCTTGGGTCAAATGGTATGGAAGATGTTAATCAGGGAAAATTTGACCGTTTTTGACTAGTAGACCAGGGTCAGTTGTAACTCGTATCCCAAAATTCTTATGAAGCTACAGAAATTATGTTGGTGTAATTTTAAAGCTTTTTGTAAGCCATAGCTGTTGGAATCATTTTATTGGTATGAAGATTAGAATTAATAATATGGCCTAATATGTTTTTCCAATTGGATTTTGACCCTGGATCTAATACAAAACTTTTAAATATAAAAAATTAGCTTGAGGAAACAATCTACTATCATGTGAGTGAAGAACTTTTTTTTAAATATGGTTTAAACATTTTATATGGTTAAGAATCCTCAGTGTAAAGTTAATATATTGCAATTTGTTTCAGTTCATGCAATTTTGTGGCATTATGAACCTTGTTCTTACAGATATGACAATATTGTACCCAAAAGGCAAGCATATCAGTGAAAACTGTGCATTCTTTAGTATTCCTGATTGTCTGTATGTGTGTTTGTTCATCTGTCCATAAATGACAAATTACAAATCCTGAAGTTGAGAATAATTACTAAAGATATTATTTATGAGCAGCATAAAAAAAACATTTCTGATAAGTTTTAACTAAAGCATCATTTTTCTGAATTCCAACTAGTCTTTTTTTTTTTTCTTCATTCCTATGATGTGTTTGATTTCTTTTAGCTTATCTTCAGTGTACTGCTTTTGAAACAATTTCTGTTTGTTGAGTTAACATGGTATAACTCATAAAGGGTATACTTTATGGTGTATGTACATGAAAAAAAAATTTATATCTTAGTGTTAAATTTGTAAATGCATCTTTTTACTCTGATTATCTGTTTTTGTTGTTTATTGAATAATAACGTGTTAAAATGTTTTTTTATCAAAAATATTATTTTTGAAGCATACAGTTTCATTCTAGTATTTTGTATAGCAAATCTTTGTTCCATGAAAGAAAAATATCTTCAAAATTATAAATGTATTTGATTTGTGTTGTCGGTATTATTCCAAATTCTTACGGTTCACTGAGAGAGAAGCTCATTTTTATAATCTTTGAAGCAAAGAAATCTTTATATGGTGTTTTCTCTCTGCAAACTAAAGCTTATTTTTCGTTTCAGGTTTGAAATTGACCCAGTTTTAATAAGGTTCTAGTAGGCAGACTTTAAAATTAAGATCAGGTATACCATGTGTTTAGATCTGTGAATTTCCTTTGAGATGCATTGCATGTTGTATACAAGCTTGATTCTTGTTCAGTTTATACAAGTTATTTGCTGCTTGATATTCTGATATGATATCTTACCTCTTCTCACACTAATAGTGTTAAGAAGAAAAGGGATCTTGGTGTAATAGTAGATCAGTCTCTAAGGCCATCCAAGCTGTTGCTAGTGGTAGGGTGAACAGGATTTAAGGTTGTATCTATAGAAATATTGAATACAAGTATAAAGAGGTTATACTTTCATTGTACAGGTCACTAGTTAGGCCCTATTTGGAATATTGTGTTCAGTCTTGGGCTCCTTACCTTAGGAAAGACATTGAATTGTTGGAAAGGGTTCAGAGAAGGGTTACTAGAATGGTGCCTGGGATGGAGGAGTTGTCATACGACGAGAGGCAGAAATCTCCCAAATTGTTTTCTCTTGAAAAAAAAAAAGAGTTAGGGAGGATCTGATTGAGGTGGTTAAGATTGTAAAGGGAATTGATAGTATTGATGTATCATCTTTTTTATATTTAACAATGAGAATATTAGGACTATGGGCCACAAATATAAATTTTGGTAAGATAGGAGTCGTCTTGAGCTAAGACAGTTTCATTTTTCTAACAGGGTGGTTGGTCTTTGGAATGGGTTGCCTTCAGATGTTGTAGAGGCAGTAGATTTAAGTGAGTTTAAGAAAAAGCTTGATAAGTATATGAATGAAAAGGGCTGGCTTAAATTTCTTTTTTTTCAATCATTTTAATTTATTTTAGAGGATTGAACAGTCGAAATGGACCAATAGGTCCCATGTTGTCCCTAAATGTTATGGTATGTTAACTGCTTTTCTCGACATTTACTGCCCTCTATATGCAAAAAATTTTGCTATTCTCACGTGAGGCAGCTGTGTAATAGCATACAAGTAATAACCCTCCACCAGTAGGAGTGTGACACAGGTAGCAGAACTGACTCCCTCTATGCAGCTTAACTGAATTTCACTTCTCACTTGGCTCTTGTGGTGTTTAGATGTGTTTTTATCTCAAGTTTTACTCACTGAATTTAAATCGGAGTTTTTTATATTAATATAACCTGTCTTTAAATTAGAGCTTCCTATGTGGATGACAAAGGTAGATGTCTCAGATGCATATTTCACATTTCTAGCATCCTGGCATTTTCTTCATTTTGTCCACTGGAGTTATGTTTACCAATTCTGAGCTCTTCCGTTGGCTTTGGCTCATTACATTTTTTGTCGGGTGGGCAAGGTCTTTGCCTGTCTTCTTCATTCCAGGGTTCTTCATTTCTACCATTACATGGATGACTGGCTGCTTCTAGCTAATTTTCATGCCACCTCTTTCTTTCACACTCAATTTTTTCTTCAAGAATCTGCATGGGTGGTCAGAGTGGAGAAGTCCTTCCTCTCTCCCACTCAATACCTTGTTCATCTTGAGGTATTTTTCAATTCCCATCTCAGCCAGGTCCAACCTTCACCACTTTGTCTGCTATCTATGGAACTTCTGGTTCAGACCATTTGCTCCTTTCCTTCTCCTACTTGAGAGAAGTTCTCTCATATATAGAAATGCAGGAGATTTCAGGATGTTGGATTGTAGCAGAGTCGTCTCTGCATATCAGTCTTTTAGAATTGCTTGCTGTTCATTGGGCTGTGGTTCATTTCCTTCTGTCTCTTTGGACCCAGTTGGTTGTGATCCATTCCAACAAGTTCACAGTTGTCTTGTACATCACTCAGTAAGGGGGCATTCAGTTGAGGTCTCTTTGTTTCAACATGTTGGACCTCCTGTTTTAAGCCCACAGACATCACATTCGTTTGATGGGATGTCATATACCAGGTGCCCTGAATCTGTTTGCAGATTGTTTACCAAGCCACAACAAGATTCTCCCAACGGAGTGGCCCCTCAATGCACAGGTGTTCAAATGGCTGTGTTCACAGTGGGTACTCTGTAACTGGTTGCATTTCCCACTCACCTGAATTTCAAGCTTCCCAGATTTTGGTCTCCTATTCCTCATCCTTTGGATGTAGCTGTCCATATCCTCAGTCAGTATTGGAGGGCTGTTACTTTTATTCATATCCTGTCATTTGTCTTCTACCTCGTGTCCTCACAATCATAGAAGACACTCTGTCAAGTCCTTCTGTGCCTGCTTCTAGTGACACATCCTATTCCTCTTCCTCTCTTGCTACCCTCCTCAGACAGTCTCATTTGGGCATGCTACATCCTTTCCTTCCCACACTCTGTTTTCATACATGGCTATTGTCTGATCCCTTGCCAGACAAGCTGGACTACCTCCATGTGTTGCTTCTCTAATTTCCCATTCAGTGCACCTTTCCTTCATGTCAGTTTAGCAATGTGGGATTTCTACCATCCTTTGTCTTCTTGTTATGGTTTCTTCAATCCTGTCCTACTCTTCCACACCTGACTTCCTTCCTTAGCTGGCTTTTCAACAAGGGGCTGTCAGTATCCACTATTGCTGGGAATCACATGGCATTGTCAGACACCTTATATTTCACAAGCTTTCACTGTATCTTCACTTCTCCATTCCTTACCATTTTGTTTCATTTCTTCCCGTTCTTCTTTGCCTTCCCATGCCCTACTGCCCTCCCTGATTGGAACCTAATTGTCATCCTCCATGCCATCACACTTCCTCACTTCAAGCCCATGTCTTCCTGTTCCATATATCATCTATCCTGAAAGACCTTTTTCCTTCTCCTCTTGGTGTGTGGATGTTGACATTTGGGTTTGTTTGCTCTTGATGTCTTTTGCACATTATATCGCAGGTCCTATGTCATTCTCTACCCGAATTGGTCTTTATTGCCCAAAACTTTGGTTGCATGTAAGAGTGAATTTGCCTTCACTCCCATTGCCCCCCTTCCATTTCTCACTTTATCTTCATTCTGATCCAGATCATCTTTATGTTCTGTCTGGGCTCTCTGCTGTTATGTGACTTGTTCCGTGGTTCCTGTTCCCATTTGTTTATTCATTTGAATCCTTCACTTCCCATGATATTTCTCTTATTACCCTTACAAGTTGGATTCGTCAGCTAATTCATATGGCTCATTCTGTTATTTCTCTTGATGATTGTCATCTCTTCCAATTCTCTTTCCCATCAAACGTTTTATCTTACCATGATCCTGGCTGCCCAATTCTATCATCTTTTAAAGGATATAGTTCATCCTGTCATGTGGACCATTCCCTATACATTTATCTAACATTATCTTCATCCTCGGGCCGTTTCCTGCTCTACAGTTTACCATCTACCTCTCATCATAATCTTGAGCTCCATGGTTTCTCAATGAGTGGGTAAGTGTTTTTTTTATACTATTCTTTTTTTACAGGGGCCTTTCTTGCATATAAGTATCCTGATCAGTGGCAAGTGTTGCCTGACCAAGTATACTTATTCTTAAACCTGCAATTGTACAACCATTTAGGTCTACAATTCCCACCATGGAGGTGGGGTGTTCTGCAAGACTGCTTATAGGTTTTCCTCATGATGTTTTACATCATAAGTATGTTTGCTCTGGGCCATACACTCTCGGACTAACATAAGTAAAGCATAAGGGGATTACTGCCCATTTCTGCTGCTCCTTGTTGTGACTGTATCAGGAACAGCCTACTTTTCAATATAAGGTTTTGTGGACACTTGATGCACTGTCTCTGGTGTTGCATTCTTCTGGACTCTTCAATGCATCCACCCCACTTCAATGTTCTTCTGTTTTGCTGGACACCCTCCTTCCTACTGTTGCCCAGCTGTCAGTTCCTGGGGATGATACGAGTCCTTGGAACGGAAGATCTTCTTCCATTCCATTTCTGATGTGAATGGTAGAAGATTGACTCTATTCCTACCATGGGCAGAGTATTCCTATCATGATACTGTTGGTGTTGATTGAACTCCCCATTATGGTCTGAGGTGCTCTTGTCACTCTACACCAGGGGTCTCTTCATTTAACTTATGGGGTTCCTCCTGTGATTCCACCCTTACTGCAACATATCACTTTTATGGACAAAGATTATACCTGGTTCAAAGTGGTGCAGTCTCCCATGGGTGTCTTCTACAGACTTTCTATTCACACACCCCAAGGGCTTTTTTTGGTAGCTTTCTGAAAGGAGATCATCTAGGTAATGCTACATTGGACCCTCCACCTGGTCAATGTGGAGGTAAGATATTGTGTTGGAAGTTAAAATTTTCCTACACTGAAAATGTATTTCCAATAGATTCTTACCTCTTTTCACCCTTCTTCCCCACTTCCACTGTCTTTTTCTTTTTATGTTGCTCAATCTTGAGGTGAAGTTGAGCTAAGCTGCTCAGAGGGAGTCAGCTTTGCTAGTTGTGTCACACTCTATTTAGTGGAGGGCTGTCGCATGCTAATTTGCATGCTGTCATTGAGGTACCTTGCATGAAAAAAAGTGAGGGTAGGTGGGAGTATCATGGCTAGTGGAGAGCAGTACAAGTCGAGAAAAGCTGTTACATAAGAAGCGGTAAGAATCTATCAGAAATACATTTTCAGTGTAGGAAAATGTTAACTTTTGTGTAGAATCTTTTTATAATTTTGAAATAATATCTGTTTATCAGATTGAGTAGCTAGACACACCAACTAAACTATAAAGTATCTCTGTAATGTCTCACAGAAAAAACAGAAACTTACTGTATTTACTCAACTGCCTCCATTTTTAAAACATCCCTCAGAATCCAAGAGGTGTCTTTACACTAAAATTTGTTGAATATTAAAAGTAAGTTCAATCCATAAACTCCCAAAGAGGGTGATTTTGAATGTATCTTTTTGAGAAAAGTTTTCATTTGTTGATTAAGAAATTTTTAAGTGAAATACAACATCCTCAAGTCTCCATACTAGCTAATACTGGGAGTAAATTCAGTATATATCCATAAAGCCACATTCTCAGCATCATTAATTAAGCAGTTGTAAACCTTTTGTGCTTCAGCTATCACATTTTATGTTTAGCTTTCAATTGAGATACAAACAATTTCATCTGTGATTCGGTAGGGAAGGTCGAAGCATCACAATATTCAGCAGTAGGATGAGCAGACAGTAACACTTTGAAAGCAGCTACAGGCATAATAGTGTGATCGGCTTGCTGCATAATATCTACCAAGGTGGTTTTAAACGGTTCCTGAATACCTCTGTGTGTAATTTGGAGACTTCTATGCTTCTTTTGTTTGGCCATTAAGTTTGTCATGCACTAATGAATTTCAGTAACCTTACCACTTCAAATCACTTTTCATGGCCTCAACTCTAAAAGAGTGTGGAAAATACCTTCTTTTTAGCCAATAAATATGTCCAAAAAATTTAAGTTCAAATTAAGAGAAACTGGATTTGTTTTTTTCAACAAAAATATCCCTCACTGGCTTGTGAGGGGCCTGTTAAAATTTAATAGTAAATTTGTTTACTTTTTGTTGACTTTTACATTGTTACGTAACCATGAATAAGGTTTTAGATCATACAATTTAAATTTTTTTAACTATATATTTTGGATAAGATTTTGTTTTATTTCTTCAAGCCTACCTCAATTAGCTTTAAAATATATCACTCTTTCACTACAGATAACTTTGAAATAAAAATGGACAACTTACTGACGAAATTATACATGCATAATTGTCCAAAAGAAAATTTACATGGTAGGCTCATGCAGTGTAGACTTGTAAATAATCTTTACATCTTGTTTGATCGAAAACTTTAAGCATAATCAATTAACAATTATCAAACAGTACTTGCACTTAGTGGATTAAAATACAAACTTGAAAATAAACTTAAAATACCTGTACAATGCTTAATGATGTCAAAACAATAAATCAAAATTGAAGTAACAGCATATTATTAGGTTTGTTCTTACCAGTACTGTATACACTTTGTCTTAGTAATGTGCAGAAACAGTCTTAATGTTTAGATTGCATGCTTGTTCATTTTATTATGCAGTATATTATGTATGATATTAATTACATATTATTCTATGTAATAGAAAATTCTTGTTTTAGCCTATGTGTGTTTTTGTCCTTGAAATTGCTCTATCTGTGCCTCTGTACAGTCACTCAAGACTTGGAACCTCTCTTTTAGTATTGTGAATGTCCAACATGTCACAGAAAAAAGTTAACATGTACACATATTTCAGATGTAAGACCAAACTGATATCATCACAAAAAGTATGTTAATATCTTCTGGTTTTTGTTAATAGCAATCTCTTTCTCACTCTGATTTTTTTAAATTGAAATTTTTTATCTTACCACTTTCATGATTAGCAGGAAGTTTACAACATTATTGTTCTTTTTCAAATTAAAATTCTGATTGATCACTCATCATGTCTTACTTGAAACCTACGAGTATACTGAACTAAAAAAAAGGTTAAAAATACACAGTTTAAAAATATTTTTATATAGCTTTTTAGATTAATGTATTTATAGATTTTAAGTGTATAGGTATTTTAACATTCAATCTTCAAAGAATTAAAATTATATTTACTAACTTGGAAGGATTTGCAATATCCTTAATATTTTAAAATGAACTCTCCTCAATTTTAGGTTATTTGTGAGAAAAAAGGATGAGAAACTTTGCTTCAAAGATATATAAACTTGTAATTTAATAGATGAGTTCCTTTTTGTCTGTGTAGTTGGATTTGGACCAATCACATTAAGACTTAGTAATGAGGTAAATTTTTGTCTTTACATAACATATAATGCTTGTTTAGAGAATAAAGATTTGCTAGATGATGAACTGTATAATTTTATTTCTTTGAAAAAAAGTAGTAGTATTTTCATACTGATGTAATATTTCCATGCTCTTGTAAATGAAGGTGGTTGCCAATAACTTATTTTTTTAATATTTTTGTTGAATAAAAATGAAAACTAGAATAACTGTGGAGTCTTTAAGTACTAAAATATTTGTTTAATATTCATGATATAAATGTAAACCTATTTATGTTAAGTGTACAATTTTTATTCACTTGCCAGTCAAAATTATTACATTGTAAAGAATAATCATACAGAAAATGCCCCTCAGTGATTAGTCTGCAGACTTATAACACTAAAAACTTGGGTTTTGATACCCATGGTGTGTACAGTACATATTATCCATTGTATAATTTTGTGCATAAAAATAAAGAAATGTACAGATGATATGGGTGGGATCTCATCTTTCAAACAACAAAGACCTTTGTTAACTTTATAATTTTGTTTCTATAAATGTGTTTCAGCAACATGGAATACCTGTTAACTCGGGATACTCTGTAGCCCCACACCACTCTGGGGTTTATCCTGTTCATGAGCAGCTATATGAAGCCTGGAAAAAGGTCTGGAATGTTAGAGTTACCAGTACCGAAGAATATCCACACCTTCATCCAGCCAGATTTCGTAGAGGTTTTGTGCATAGAAATATAATGGTTTGTTTCTCTGCTGATTGATTTTAGTGTTGCTTTAGGTGTTATAATGCTGAGCTACTTGTTATTAACACATTCTACATTAATCTTGAGCATTCAATTGAAACTACTGTAATTTTATTCTCATATGTTACAGGGCCTTATAATATTTATTGAGGATATATATGTTTTATTGCCATATTACACTTTAGTTTTGCAGCCTACACCTACACTTTGACTTTTCCTGATTGCTTAAAACTACCTTAAAATTATATATATATTTTTTCAAATCTTAATGTCTTAAAGTTTCATACAAGGTTAATTGTTACCTCAAATATCACACTTTACCTTAAGCTAATAACTCCTGGCTCATACCAAAGACTGTAGATGTAGTGTCTCCTTCCATCTTGTTACAGTTATCTACATAATATTTATACAAAATAACTATATATATTCATGTAATTGTGGCCCACTATCATCATACCTATAGGTTAGTCATGGTATATGACATGAGACCATGTATACCTGGCCTTTATTTTTATCAATTATTATCTGAAATAGTCAATTTTTCTCAGCTCTTTGTGCATTCACATCATATTTCTTTTGTCATGAGTTTTTGTATTTCTTAAGATTCTTTATTTTTATGAGTTTGTAGTTTGTTTCTAATAATCAAGGCTCCCAATATTTCCTAGTATGTGAGGCCAAAAATATACTGCACAATATATGCAGGTATTTACGGTATCCTTTCTGTGACCACCTAACTTTGAGGGTAGAGATTGTAAGTTCATCCCACTCTCAGTTGGGTTTAAAGTTTCAGTCTCATTTCTCTGTTTTTGGGGTTGTTGCTTGAACAGAGAGACAGGAATTTGTGAACTGTTTTATTTTACACCATTAGATTGACTATGGTAGTTTGATTTGTATTTTATATTAGTCAAACAGAGGAACTAATTTCGTGGATTGAATACTCTCTTCTCTCTGATAGACCATGTGTTAGGCATTAAAGGTGCCCTTGCACATTGGATCTGTAGATTTCACTTGTGTGTTGTCATTAGGCTTGCAGCAGGTTTCTCATATCTCTATAGTCACCCAGTCTTACTAGTTTAACCCACATGGGAACCTATGAG